TCCCCAAACAACTATGCTGAATTTTTTTTGTTTATCATTTATTCGTATTCTTATTGTAATTTTGATTACATCTATATTCTTCTCCTTCTGTTATTTTCTATTTTCTGTATATGTTATCTTATACAGAAGATATTCAATTTTTTTCCTACGTACACACAAAATGAAGAACTTGATCATATAAATCACCATAAAAGAAACTGAAAACTATGCATGTTAATTTGTTATGAATTGAATTTTGTAGTGTCAACTTGTGGATATAAAGGGTAAAAAATTCAAATCTTATACTAAGAACAAGCTTTACAACATTATTTACCCTTTATTTTTTAGGTTGGACAATTTTACCCTTTATATATTATTTGGAAATTATATCTTTTAACTTTTCTTAATTAACAATAAGATTTACAACATTACAATATGTTACATTGTATTGATTCTCTACAGAACATATAAGTGCAGAAAAACATTTTATTTTCGTAGTTTAAAAAACTGATTTGGATTGATCAGCAAAGTTAAAACCGGAAATACTCCAAAATGGTTCAAATGCAATCCGAATTTCAATCAAAATAATAAAAACATATAGGAATATGTGTGTTCTGTTAGTCAGGTATTTAAATTTATATATATTTTTCATCATATTTATATAATTTTGTGTGTTTTCAGTTAAATGATTCAAATGCAATCTGAATTTGAATCATAATAATACGAACATATTGGAATATTTCTGTTAACTTAGTCAGGGCTTTGAATTTACATATATTTTTCATCAAATTTATATAATTTTGTATTTTTCAGTTAAATGGCTACTCCCAATGTCACTTTGATTGCTGATGTAGATGTGCTGAGGGACGATTTGATTGACTCTAAAAGTCTGTGTCATCAACTTGTGGAAACATATGTCATTCTACAACAAGGATGACATTTGGTCCATTGAATTAATCTTACTTGATGAACAAGTATCTTACACTCTACATATTAATTATTTCTTACAAATACACATTTAAGTACAATTACTTATATAATTGATGATATATTACTTTTTTATAGGGGAGCAAGATCCAAGCTACTGTTTGGAAAAAATTTCTATATCGATTCAAAAATATATTAAAGGATGGGTCGTCTTTTTACATCACGAGTCCAAGTTTTGCATCACAAAGCCCGGTAGTTTCAAAAATAACTCCTCAAGATCAAAAACTAACCTTTGTACAGAATATTGTTCTCAAAGAATGTGTAGAATTTTCTGCATCTAGATTTGGTTTTTCATTTGTTGACTATCAAATTGTTCTGTCGTTACTACATCCTGAAGATATATCTGTTGGTTAGTTAATATTTATTATTTTAATTATAAACTAAAATTTTAATTGGTTTAATTTTTAAATGTTCAAACTTGGATTTAGTAGCACCCAATTCATATTTTTCTTGAATATATATGTGTGTTATTTGCAGGTCAAAATTTTGATAATGGAAAACATGGAAGCTGCACTTCAATCCTCTAAAACAGCCCCTGGACATGTTTGATCCATCACAAATATATTATTAATTTAGAAAATGGTCCTTACGTCATTATTTTTTTACATTTTTTGTCTCTTTATTAATAAAGTACACATTAGACATATAAACATTTTTAAAACAAGAACATGTTTCTTTGGTCATGTTGCTTTCTATGTGTGTAATTAAATTACATATTAGTGTGTTATACCATCTGTTTTTCGTTACATACCAGTGTGTTATACGGTTTAAATCTAAATGGTGCATATGTGCTGGTTATATTCTTAAAATTCTGCTTTTTTGGGCCATTTTCTGCCATTTTTTGTCTTCAAATCTTGCTGTCAAATGCAAGAAATTGCAATCGAGATTCATTTTTTGTTCTAAACCATTGCTTTCAATTTCACAGATGCTATCTAGGCACTAATATGAGTTTGTCCTCCGTTTTGCACATATTTAATCCTAATATCTAACTAATCTTTATAAAAATCGCTATCTAATTTCGGAAGGTATATAAAATTCAATTAAAATTATTTGCTAATATTAATCAGATGCACAAATTTAACCCTAAAATCTTGGAAATTCAAATTTCAAAATTTCAAACTATTACGCACAAAATATGAAAATCATACTTTCAGTAAATTGAAAGTTACCTGATTGTGTCTTCACTCTTGAAGTATTTCGAGTTACTCCTCATACCATTTCAGTTTTCGATAACTTCTTCATAAGAATCAAATTTCTGCCAAAAACAATCAGGTATAATTTCTTTCAACTAATCTATGTTCTGTTAAAAAAACAATCGTTAACAAAAATTTACATCTTACCTTCCATTGTCGCATCTTCATACCTTATTCGTTCGTACCTTCAATTGTAAAATCGGTATAAGTTTCTACTCTACTCCCTTCAAAATTGATTCGATGATTGTATATTCCTATCTTCCTTCACGATAGCAATGGACAAACTTCCATATCTTTCTGAAATGAATGCCTTCGAAATGTTAATCTTGATTGTAGAGATATCAATTTCGATATTCGATTGTTCTAGGTCTCCGTTTCTATTACAGCAAAAGGGAAAAATGGGGTTTATTACTATTGATGATTATCTTGTACGTGGGAGAAATAGGGGTTATTACTTATGTGAAGGAATATCGAAATATGTTTATTTTACTATTTTTTATATCAATAATATTTAAATAGTTTGGATTGGTATGTATCCTATTTATTATTGAAATAACTATACTTTAAATAATTACCTAAGAATTTATATTGACATGTCGTATTTATTAAATTGTAATTTAAATTGACATAATCTATTTTAATTGCCATTTTATATATCATTCTCCACAATTTAATAAATAAATTTGATTTATATATAATTATGTAATTTTATGATTTAGAAATATCATTTATTTCCTATTTGGTTAGTATTCAATTCGTCAAATGAAGTTTATACATTATATAAGCTACCAATCGATGTAACAATTACTATCAAATTATTAATTTCGTTTTTTACTGTACTTTTTTATTTATAAATATCAAACAAGAACATGAATGCAACGGACGCTAGAGAGAGAAGAAGAAACAGAAGTTATATTTGGATAACAAAAAATCCAAAAACGTTTGTACTACATCATCATCTCATCGTACACCTACCGGACATGCTATAAATTTTGCCAATACGGTAATCTTCTTGCTTATTTTGCATTGATAATTATAATATGTATTATTGAAAGATTTTAAATATGTTTATTCTTTTTATTTAAAATAAAAATAAAAGAAATTAAAGTATATTTAACTTAATATAAAAAAAATGTCTTTAAGTTGTTTTCTACGATTTTACAGGTTCAAATAGTACTACAGAATCTACAAATGCTAAAGAGAGGAGAAAAATTAGAAAGTTATTTTTGGATAATAGAAAATCCAAAATATTACCAAGCACATCAAACCATCAAAATTCATCTATTACATCTACTTCTTACATGTCAAATAAAGGTATTTATATTCGTTTATTTTACAATTGATTTGCAAATATAAAAATTATATTAAATTTGCAAAACTATTTAATTTAGTGTATTTATAATAATTAATATTTTTTAATTATTACTAACCATTTTTCCTAATTATATAACAAATGTCTACAATCATCGTGTTAGATTAATATCTACAGGTAACTATACAGACGTTACCTTAGATAAGGAAAATATAAACTCAGCCAAAATCATGTATATCAACATACAAGTATTCATCATACTTCAAATGGTACGGATTTCTATATATACGAATTTAAAAATATATTTCACATTTATATAACTCATAACAATTAATAAGAGCCAAGGACAATCTTTATCAAATGTTGGTTTGTTTCTCAAGAATCCTGTTTTTACACATGGTCAATTGTATGTTGCTTTATCCAGAGTTCAAAGTGGAGAGAGATTAAAATTGTTAATTTTAAATAAGGATGGTTGACTATCAAATAAAACATCAAATGTTGTGTATAAAGAAGTTTTTAGAAATTTATAAAAACTTTGTATAATTTTATTGTTTATATCAATTTTTGTTTTTTGTTTTATTTCAATTTTAATTCAATTCTACAAAAATAATATTTTTCTAACATATCTACAAATGTAGATTGCCGATCGGATATTGAAACCACTATGCTTTCGTAATTTTAACGAATCATCATTTCACTATCACATGACTGATAAAACATCTATATTTATTACTTATTAAAAATTTTATTATGATTCTTCAATTATTAAATATTATTATAAATAAAATTATTTTTAATTTTCTCATCCGTGGTGTCCAAGGGTTATAACCTAGTAAACTAATAATCATATCATTATTTGATTTAACGTTGCCAGGTGTGAATTCTCTAAAAAGTTACTGACTTACGTTAATACTTAATATGGTTTAAATTTCTCAAAAGTCATTAAAAATGTATTAAAATACGTACAATCTCTTACACTGTTTTACTCAACAAAATCATATAATTTTAAAACAATATGCTAACCTTTATTAAAAAAAATAAGGTATTTATGGAGTCTTTTCCTTTCTCAAAATCCTCACATTTCATCAAATGGCTTACGCTTTATATAAAAAAATTAAAGCAATTATTTCATGCAACATCTATCCACGATATGATATGTATAATAACAATAATAATAATAAGTAACTATTGATGTAATCTTTTAGGGGACCATTGATAATCTCCAAATGAAATCATTCACAAATCAGTCATCCTTCCGTCGACATGTTTGATAAAGACTCCGAATGAACGACCTCTAAATAATTAATGAACTTTATATTCTCTTAATCATTAAGATGTTGAAATCATTCAGCACAAAATGGTTCCGTTTTATTAAAAGAACTGCTTAGGCTTGTTAGATACCTCGTCTGCATTCCTATTCTATATATTATTTGTCTTCATGCTATATGGTTTAACGTAATTTCAGACTTGTTTTAAAAAACAAAGCTTGTTTGACCATAAAAGTCAAACTCTTATTTTAGACACAATTGTTTACAACTGTTTAGCATCAATAGACTATGAAAGATATCCATTGTTCTACTCTATTTCTTGATTATTCAAACAAACACAAGCCAAAGAAATAACAAAACAAGAATGGACACAAATTTCTGTAATCAACAACACTTGACACACAGTTTTTTTTTGTTTATTACCATGTATGTATGTTGCTTGTCAATAAGAATCATCAGAATGCAGATCCAGTGTTTTTGGTCTTTCCAAGCATTACATCTTTGGCTTCATTGATTTTTGAAGCCAAATAATGGCTGCCTCCTGCATCCGGATGATTTGCAACCATTACCCTTCTATGTGCTTCCCTCACCTTCTCTGCTGCAGCGCCTTCTCTGTCAGACATGACAAATGTCTAAAATAACCTTTCAATAATTAACAAAACTAAGGGAATAAACCAAAAATGTTATTACTTCCAAGTTCCAATCTTGGAGTTGATGCATTCTTCTTCAACAGCTTTAGTCATCATATCTTAATCTTACAAGATTACTTCAGATAATCTGTATGAGCATGTAAATTTTCTTTAGATGGTATTTTTCAACTACCCTTTTTCAATATGATTATGACAGAATAAAAGAATAAAGTGATTTTTACTTTCAAACTTGGTGTTTTAGTTAATCATATCTTACTATCTTAGTGGAATGTGGAGAATCTTTAAAAGCTAGTAAAATTTTCTTTTAGAAGTTAGTAGATATGCAAGAACTTAGTTTACCTAACACCAAGGATTAGAGCTGCTTCTCGTCTTGTCATTGTTGGTTGGAAGCCACCTTCATAAAATCTGCGTGATCTTGGCCTTGGTGGTCTTGTCTTGAAAGAATTCCAGGCTTGAATTCCATATTTACCAGCCATGGCTGCAGCTGCTACTGCGAGTCCAGCAATAAATGGGGTAGCCTGAAATACACATCTAAGGCTAGTTAACTTTTTAATTAATGAAACCTAAAAAGTAGTAGAAGCAAGAATGGACTGAAATGCTCTATACAAAGTAGCCCTTAATAATTTATGTAATCCCAATCGATCCTAGTTAAAAGAACAAAAGCACTTCGTGTGATATGTAGGGTTCATCAAGATGCACTGCGTCCCAAAATCACCATCTTAGAATGTATGAAGAAATCAGGTACAAATTAAGATTCATCGTCACGTGTTTAATCCGATAGAACTATTAAATTAATTGAGATTAGGATTGAACTTCGAATTAAAAAACCGTTCGTAATTCTTGGGGCTGGAGGAACGATTCCCAAATTGCATAAACAAGGATAAACTCTAAAATCAAGAGTGACAATCGGAAGAAAAGGAAATCAAAGAGATTAAATAAAAATTTACCATTAGCGTAATGATTCGAGGATGGAAGACAATGTTTGCATAAAATGCGGTTTCTTGAAGATTCAACGTACAGACTACAGACGATACCAATAATCGAACCAATTAGTAGAAGGCGTTCTCTTTCGATTCTCGTTTGGACATTCGAGAGCCTAGTATATTCACGAAATAAAATATTTAGATGACACTAATAAATAAAAACAAAAGAACTACACCAAAAAGTCGATATGTCCGAGTGGTTAAGGAGATAGACTTGAAATCTATTGGGCTTCGCCCGCGCAGGTTCGAACCCTGCTGTCGACGGTTCTTTTTTTCTTTTTTTGTATGTTGAAAACTTGAAATGAACAATTAAGTTTTTGAAAACCAAACTGGCTGATCTTTTCTCATTTATTTTAGATATTTATAAATACTTATTCAATTTATAAAGTTTTTATAAATTTTTTCTAGAATTTTTTTGTTATAATAACTTTAATCTTTATATTTGTAAATAAATATAAACCAAACTTGAATTGTCAAATATTGATTTTAGGATGTAAAAGTTGAACGAGAAACTCACGATATTAGTCCTTCTAAAATCTTGATTATTTATATATAGGGTTGTAAACAAATCGAACGTTCGGCGAACCGTTCATGAGCCGTTCGACGGTAAATTCGTTTATGTTCGTTTATTTAATAAATGAATGAACATGAACAATGATATTGTTCGTTCTTTTGCGTAAATGTTCGTTTATGTTGTTCATTTATGTTTGTTCGTTTAAGTTTAAGGTTCAAGTGTTCTAAGTATTTATTGTGTGGATGTAGGAATCAATGTAGGCCAATCATTTTAAAAGGGAAATTATGTAATCTTACATTTAATAAATATTTTAATTATGGTAAATAATTAAAATATTTAATTACCTTAAAATTTGAAAAAAAAAATCAGTTTATAAACCCTACAAAATCACCCACCGACCCTTTTTATCACATTTCATCGCCTTCCTCGTCTTCTATGCTTCTCACATCCGTCGTCCGCCTTTTTGAAGACTCCTTCAACTCCTTTGACCATGTATCTACTACTCTCTCTTTTGTCCCCGATCTATCCTTTATACTTCGAGTACCTATTGATGGGTTAATGTAAATTATGAACATTGGTTTGACATGCGGAATTAAAGAACACAGTGATTTCGGTGTTTAAGAGATGCATTCGATTATGAAAGGTGTTACAAAAAAGGATCTAGATCTAAATCTATATAATTAACACACACTAACACTCTCAATTTTACATCTCTCAAGCACACCTCTATAAGTGGTATAAACTCACCTTATATAGAGGTGTTTACATGTCTCTCTCTATCTCTCATGTCACAAGGCTACTTTACCACATGCAAGTGGGTCTACAAAAGTCAAACCATTTACAAAGTCATACATGGATAACTTTGTACCCAACATTCTCCCCCTCAAAGTTAGGAATGGATGACTCGCTTCAAATCTTCCAAAATCGAGTAACTACACGAACCAAGCCTCAAGCGTGACACATGTAGAGATGAACATCAAATCTTCAATTCTTCCATGATTCTTCAATTTGGGTTCTAGAATGTGAGACCATACGAACCGAGCATCAACGGATAATTAGGAGTTTCTCAATCTCCAAATAATCACCCTAAAGTTGAGCATAAAAGCACACCCCAAAAATCTTCAATAAGTCCAAACCCATCATGAACCGAAATCACTTCCGAATTTCCAATCGAATCATTTCATAAACTTCAAATACTCGAGGTCACTTCGGTCTTCAAGTCCGCGTAATATGAAAAATTCAACTTTCGAATTTCCATATAAATTCTCCCCTTTTTATAATCGAAAAATGATTATAAAACCAAAAAGGAATGAGAAAGTGCTCAATTCGGAATTTGTCTATCCAAAACTCCCCCTTAACACATGGCATAAACATTGTGCTTCAATCCGGAAAATCAAAAAAAATCTTTAATTTTTAGCTTCGTTCACGGACCGCCTTTGACAAAGTTTCTCAAAAATGGGTAGAAATTGTCAATTTCAAAATTCTGCAGTGACTCGGTGCGCCCAAAACAGCCAAAAATGCGAAACTCTCCCCCATTTGTGAAACTGGGTAGAAAGCGTCAATTCGCATTAACTACAGGGGTCTGAAATGTATAATCTTCAATTTCTCAGAAAATCAGCCCATTTTCAAATTTGGGTATGGTCTGCCAAATTTTCGAAACTTCAGGTACAATTTTCAAAACTTCTGCACACATCTTCAAACTTTCGAAAGTTTAGTCCTTATTTCGAAAGTGGGTGCAAAGTGTCAATCTTTCGAAACATGAAAGACTGATTTCGAAATTTCTGCTCCAATTTCGAAATGTGTATAAAGTGCCAAGATGTCGAAATTTTAAAGACCAATTTCGAAACTTTTCCTTTGCTTCCAAATTTTCGAAATTTTGTCCAACTTCAAATGTAGGATTAAAGTGTCAAACTTGCGAAACTTTAAGGTCCACTTTCGAAACTTTTATGTTTTCTTCCCCAATTCGTTTCTCAGGTAACGAATGTTTGCATCTGCTACAAATCCTTCGTAACATTGACACAAAACCTTCGTTAGGTGAAATTCGTTCTCACAACCAAATTTTCGTTAGTTGATACAAGTCGTTGACACTTTATAAAAATCTTCGCTTTTTCATCACTGTATCCCAAAAACCTTCGTTAGTCAATCAAACCCATTTATCGACATCAAATTCTCAAATCTTCGCACATGAGACCCGTCACAGCATTATCTGTTCGTCATCAAGCAGCGACCAACAAACAATAGGCCTTCACACATAGACCAACAATATGTCTAATCCAAAATCATCCAAGTCTTCAAGTATCGACTCCAAAATATTCGACCCTTGATATCGATCGTCGAATAATAAATCCATACTCCATACATTTTCGAAATCAAGAATCAAAATTCGTCATCTGTTTGCTATGAATTGTCGACCATCGATCCTGATATCAAACATTCAACTATCGAATCCAAAAATCAATGTGTGTTTGACTTGTAATCAGTGACAATCGTTCCCTATATCACCTGCGAAATTATAACCAGTTTCAAACCCATCGACATCCCTCCAAAAACCAATAACGAATCATAAACCCATCAATGATGAACAACTTGCTTGAACGATCCCATTCACAGTAGTCGACACCGAAAACTTTAAATCATGCAATTTTTGAGATTAAACACCAAATCAAACATGATTTCGACATTCACAGCTCAAATACAACTTGTATCTTCCAATTTCTTCTACTAATTCATTGAATCAACCCATAGAAGTCGATTTTTACTTTTTATGGGATTGACTTTTTGAAGTCAAACATCAAGAAACACGAAATCGAAGATTCCAATGCCCAATTTCAGATCAAAACAAGTTCAACCAACTGTTCTTCATCCTATTGAAGTGTTCTTGGTCAATATTCATCAAAATCAAAGAACTGATATGACGATTTCTACACTTCAACAGGAACAAAATCGGTTTTGTAACAGATCAAATCACATAAACTCGATTCACAACTTCTGATTAACAAAGACTTCTAATCGATTATTCAGAAATATTAAAGAGAAATCGACACTCAAGAATGTCGATCACAACGAAAGTCAAGAACGTACAACTCGGTTATGTGTTTGTTGAACTACGAACAAAGTTAGAATGTATCAAACTGATTTAGTAAATCCTTGGGCTCCTTGTTTTAATATATCGATTTATGGGCTCGAAATTTAAATATGAACAGTAATGGACATCAAATTTTGGGCTCAAGATAAGGATCAGTCGAATCAAATGATTTTGGCTAAAAAAAATTTGATCATGTAACACCCTGATTCTCAGGTATCGATTTTATATAAGAATTTTCCTGATTCAAGGTCTACTCGACGAGTTGGTGGTTTCCCTACTCGTCGAGTAGCAGCGGGTTGGTCCGCGTGTTTTTAGTGACCTACTCGCCGAGTCCAGGAAGCGACTCGACGAGTAGGAGCTGAAGGATGAAACCCTAATTTCCAGGGTTTTTCACCCTATTTAAGGATCACTTATTTCCCCCTAACCTCTCTTACTGCCTCCCTCGAATTCAGAAACCCTAATTGTGCTTTCCCTCTATTTTGTGTGCTTCTTATCTGGAAAGAGGATCTTTGGAGTAAAGGGGCTTGGAGTTCAAGAAGTTTGAAGCAAGGGGCTATTGTAGATCCAGATTCTTCTTTGTTTTGGCATTGTTTTGAAGGTAACAAGTTGCTACCTTGTCTCTCCTTTAGTTAGATCTCTTCATTTATGGGTTTAGAGCCCTTTTTGGGGTTTTGAGGTGGTTCTCCGTTTTGGGTTAAGATATGAGGTTTGCAACCTCAGATCTGGACTCCTTTAGTAACTCTTTGTCATAAAGTATCAGTCTTTGTCAAGCTATGACCTTTCCTCTACCTTAAGCCACTCCTTTAGCTTGTTTTGGGGCATTATCATCTTGCATGCACGTAAAGTTTGCAACTTTACGTGATAATCATGCCCTAGGAGCTTAGATCTGCAATATGGAGCCTTTGCATGGCTTAGAAAGCATCTGTAAGGATGGAGGATTGAAGGAACTCGGCGAGTCGCATGGTAGACTCGGCGAGTCATATGAAGATGGTCATGAACTCGACGGGTTGGATGAACAACTCGGCGAGTCCGATAAATATTGTCGTAAACTCGGTGAGTCAGTAGAGTGACTCGGCGAGAGGGTTAATTATGCAAGGAACTCGGCGAGTGTCTAGTTGTACTCAACGAGTTCAGGTCAACATGGACTGTTGACCTTGGCAGTTGACTTTGACTTTGACCATGGGTTGACTTTTGGACTTTTGGGGGCATTTTGGGAACTTATGAACATGGTTGTATGGCGATTATAGGTGGCGGGGTTTTCGGCAGTGATTCGAGAGGGCGAGCTTATCTTTCGAGTCGACATTACAAGGTGAGTTATCCTCACTATATCAACAGGGTCTAAGGCACCAAGTCCAGCCCTTTATATATTGTCTCAGGATTATGGCATGATATATTTATTGATTACATCCTGGTAGTTAGGATGATAGTATGCTTATGCTTAGAGACCTGGTTAGGTCAGCGCCCTGGTTATAGGATAATGTTAT